CAAATGCTGCATTTATAGCAACAAACTAAACTGTTTGCAGAGACCATTGTGCTGTTGTTAGTATTTCATTATTATTCTGAAATCCTGGTATGTTTATATGATATATATCTAGATAAAGATATAGATATATCATAGGATACAAATGAATGAGTAATTGGGTGATATTCTATCATTCTTGATGTTATTTCAAACTGGATTAGAAGTGGGGATAGGAGGTTCATATGTAATTTAAATGAGATTAAGTGAAAACTGTGAAGTCTTCCATTTGAATTGGAAATATTAGAATGAACCCAAGATGTATTTAGTATTAAAATAAAAATTTTATAACTCTGTCCACTAAAAAGTTCTAAAAATGATGACTAACCCAGTACCAATAAGTATACTGCTATGAGGTATTAAAAATTTTTTTAAGTTAAAAAAATCCTCTTAGTTCCATTGAAAGATATCATTTTCCATATTTGGAGCAATAAATGAGCAAGAGGAACCTTAAAAAACTTGTCACCCCTTGTCAGCTATACCAGGGTCACAGGAGCCCAGAGACAACTTGAACAAGCTCTCAGTGACCAAAATTAGTAAAAATTGAGCATCAGATGATATCTGCATTTATGTTGAGATGATTGAAATGCATCAAATATGTTCAAATCCAAGAATGCAAAATGATTTTTTTTGTCATGATGTAGGTGCAAGAGATTAAACTAAGGACTTTGTATATGCTAAGCAAGTGCTCTGCAACTCAAAATTATATTTAAAATGGAAGATAAAGAATATCATAAGGAAACTAGCAAACCATATCATCTAATAAAAAGGGTTGAGAAGTGGTAAACAAAGCATTTATGTTACCTTTCTATTTGAAATCTATCACTGGTTGAACAAATAGTAGATTAATGGAACTTCTCTTTTATTTAAGAATTCCAAGTAACAATTGAAGAAGGAACGAAAGAATTTGACTGCCAGTACGTGCAACCATATTGAATTAATTACTACTCTAGGCAATGATCATCAGTGGATGCTACTATTACAGAAAAAAAAGTCATTCAATTTTACCTGCTGAAAAGAGACAGTACCAAAATTTGCACAGAACTGAACCCAAATCTGATCAATTCTCTGTATTTGAGTACTAATTTGAATGAAGTATAGAGACCACAGGATGCAATTGGAATAATCAGTAAAAGTCAGATAGTGGAAAATGCTACAAGAAAAATGATCAGGTTTTTCAATAAATAGAAAAAAAAATAAGGCAAAACTAACAGATTACAAAATACAATTACAATGTGTAGCTTTTATTTGAATCCTAGTTCAAACAGATGGAAAACAAAAATCATATGAATTTATGACATTTGAAATCATTGGAAATTTACCCACTGGATAAAAATTATTATTAGTTTGTAAAAGTGATAATGGTATTGTGGTTCTGTTTTAAAGAGCCATTTAGAGATATATCAAAATATTTATGGATGAAGTAATATGTTGTCTGGGATTTGTTTCAGAATATTGTGGGAGGAGGAAGTGGTTAGATGTAGAGCAGTAATAAGACTTAAAGTTAGTAATTGTCATACCTGAGTGATGTGTACATTGGCATTTATCCGTATTTTTCAGTCTACTTTTATACATATTTTTTCTATTGGAAAAAAATTTTAAATATATACCATTGCTACATTCTGCCTTCTCCTTGTCAGCCTAAAAATCTAAGCTCAGGTGTATAGGGCTTGAGGAATTGAGGTGGTATTTACAGTTTTTAATGCCTTACTTTCTCATGTAAATTAAACTATCAGGTGTCCCTGTATGCTTTGAGAGCTACACAGGGCCCAGCTGTGGCCCCTGGATTAGAAGACGCCTCACTCTATGGCATCTACTGTGCCAGAGGAGGAATGGATTCAGTGCCCACACAGGTGCCTCCCTTTAAGCCTTGGCCTAAGTGCTGTGCCCTGCCCTCCATTGCTCCCAGAGCTTTCTCAGTACCTGAAAAAGACATGATACTGGGCATTTGAAGAACATCAAGTTCTTAGTCTTACCAAGAGGAAGACTAAAAAGCAAAGTGCTCCTGCAACAATGGGAAGATCTGTAATCTACACACCAGATACTTCTGTGGCCACGTTTGTTTTTCAGGCCAGCCTGTCTGTAGTGATCTTGCTAGCCTTCTCTTCTTAAGCCCTCTCAGGATTTTTAGGTTGAATTTCCTGGTGAAATTGCTTTGTTGCAGCCAAAATTATTTTTGGACCTATCTTTAGCTTGTTGGCATCAACTAAAATCATATATGTGAACACACCCTGAAAATGACCACATGTCCTGTGCATATGAATGCTTTGCAAAGCCAGACTCATGCCCTTTATAGAACTGCTCTCTTATTTTTCCTCTGAACCATGAAAATGTCCTATAAGATGCAGTTTGTTAATGTGATATCCACAAAAACCTATTTTGCTGCTTTGTCCAAAAGCTCAATGGTGGCTGACAAAGGATGGACCAAGCAGACTCCTGGAAAGAAAAATGATGATGTCTTCTGGATCCGGTGGTGCACACCTGTAATCCCAGCAATTTTAGAGGCTGAGGCAGGAGGTTTACAAGCTCAAGGCCAGCCTCAGAAACTTAGCAAGGCACTGTCTCAAATAATAAGTAAAAAGGACTAGGGGGCTGTGGCTGGGGCTCAGTGGTAGCGCAATTGTCTGGCATGTGTGAGGCACTCAGTTCGATTCTCAGCATCACATAAAATAAATAAAGGGCTATCAACAACTATAAAACAAAATAAAAAAGGACTAGGGATATAGCTTAATGGGGATATAGCTCAGTGGTAAACCCTGGGTTCAATCCCCAGTACCAAGGAAGGAAAGAAGAACAGAAGGAAAGATAGATCTGAGTTGAGACCACCAGTTAATCCCACTGAGGGAGTCTGTACATCTGTCAATTCTTCACCAGGGTGGGCTTCATCACCAGGCAGGACAAGATCTAGGTATCTGTGATGCTTTTTCGCATTTTATCCTCCACGTAGAGATGTATGCATACATGGAAGTAGAGTGAAGATTCCCAATACCAGAATAATACATTAAATTATTTTAAATCTGTGTTAATAATAGTAATAATAGTGCATCTTCTTTTGATATAATTTTATTTCCTCTTTACAGCAATTTTGAGAGACAGCGGTGTTCTTACCCTCATTATTCAGATGAGGAAACCAAGGCTCCATAAAGTGACATGGCTTGCCCAGGTCATACAGCAAGGTTGCAGTAGCAGATTTGCACCCAGTCAGGACATTGACTCCCCATCTGGTGCTCAACCTCAGACCTATTCTCTCTGCTCTTTTGTGTCTGTGTGCTATAGGCTGCATCATCAGACAGACCTAGACGAGTTTCCTGCTCCCCACTTAACCTGTGCAACCCTGACCCAAAGTTGGCTCCCTCTGAACATCAGTCTTTGTAGCTATAATGTAAGTTCCCTCAACCTGCCTCCCAAGCACCAGTCAGCAATTCTGAAAGTGTGCCAATGCTCGCCAGACATCCAGAGCCTGAGGCAAAAGGGAGAACTGTCTTGCAAATCATGCCTTCATTGAAAATGCTGATATTGTGTTCTTCAAGGATGTATTTGTCCTCGTTTAAAAAAAATGCACTAAAATATTGTTGATCTTGGTTTCTGATTGGTTTTGCATTCCCTTGCACCTGTGGCAGGTTCCTTGCTTGCCTCACCTTGGTCCTGACCCTGCTGGGTGCCAGGCATTCTGAAACTTGGAGAATAGAAAAGAGAATAAAGTAGCCCTCAGGCTCCTGGCCCTCTATCAGAAGAGATGTTACATACAAAATACAGTCTATCCCATCTTGCAGCTCTGGGGTAGCCCTAGGTAGGCACTCATCCTCATCCTAGTCTTCCTCTGTCTTCAGTGGTCAGACCACAAGCCTCTACTCCTAATCTCCAGTTTCAATCTCCACTCACCATAAGTTCCTACCTTCCAGACTCCAATTATAACATCTGCTGACAAAAACATTACAGGCATGTTTTACTTGGGTTCCACTGAAACAGAAGTTAATGAAAAACTGAGGCAATTTCCATCTTTACCCTGTTATACCTCTGTCCTTCAATTTTGCTCTCTTTGATTAGAACAGCTCCTCTACTTGATAGTCTCCCAAATCTAACAGTCAGTCTCAGAGGCCTGTGCCTATGTGTGCAACTGTCTCTCTCTGCTTAGAAACTCCTGGGGAAGGCCCAAGGGACCCATCACAGACCCTATAACAGTGGCCTAAATAAAATAGCAACTCAGTAAGTTCTGGTTACTTATAAAATAAGAGCTCGGGTACTGAAAAGACTATGGTATTGAAGGCAAGAACCTCCATTCAGCATGGACACAATGATTCAGAGCCACAGTTAGAGGTGGGCCCATTCTTTCTGCCTTCAGAAGGCTGGTAGCAGCAATCCTGGCACTCAGTGGAGTTCTAGAATGGAGAGGGCGGTCCCAGAATCTCTGTTGAATAAGAGATAAGTAATAGTTCATATTTATTGAGAATGTGCCCTGGGCCAATATATTTTGTGTTTACATATTTTACCACTATAGCTAAGTTGAATTGTATTGATGTGGCATCATATCTTAATGGTATGATTAAGTAGGTCTGACCTGCTGAGTAGGTCAAAAGGCCCAGCAGTGCACTTTGAAGAGGGACAGCAGGGCAAGGGTGGCTGATGGTCCTTATTGACCACTGTCCTCCCCTCTCTTCAAAGGGCATGAATTTGAAATCATGGCCATGGTGACATTAGGTTTAAGAATTAAGTCTTAAAGCAGAAAACTTGCCACACAAAAGCGTTCATCTTACGCCTACCCTTCACCTCTATTTTACATTAAGAATGAGATACAGAGGAGTAGATGTGGTACATGTGGTCAGCAAGTGCATGTAGCACCTGGGAAGGCAGAGGACATGCCTCCAGCTGTTGGCCCCACCCCAGATGCAGCCTCCTGTGACAAGAAGCAAAGTTTTCCAGGGTAAGGAGAATAATATTCCCTTATTCTCTGATTTGTCCCACAGGTGGCACTGACAGAAAAAACTCTCCAGGCCGAGGCTCCGGTACATGGAGAGAAGGAAGAAGGAAATTTCCTAATTGGTACTATATACATCAGGTCAAACAATTTTATTCATTTTTAGCCATACCAATAAAATCTTACACCCAAGTATGAACCATGTACAAAGTGGTGAATAACAATGGATAGTTCCAGTTATAGACCTCCCTGCCTAAGACACTTAGTCCTCAAGAGTTTGAGCATAAATAACTTTATTTCTTCCATTCTTACTGAATCCCGGATGGGCCCAGAGCTCACCAATGACCATGTCACAGCTGATAAGGAACAGAACTGGGCTCAGACTAGGCCAGTGTGCTTGGCTTTAACACCTTAGCAACTGCCATAGAACCTGCCCCACTGAACAATGCCCATCCCTGTGGTCATCATGAAAGGAGGACAAAGCACATTCATTAATGCAGGGGATTTAAACTTACCACATAGTGTGTAAATTCAATTACATGTTTGCTAGTATAAAATTTTCATCATATATACTGGGGTCAGTAAGTTCTGGTTACTTATAAAATAAAAGCAAACTTTTTTCTATAAAGGCTCAACTAGAAAATATTTTCAGTTATGTGGGCCTTATGGTCTCTATTTTAAATACCTTATAAGCCATGAACAAAAACATCCACAGACATTATATAAATCAATTAGTATGGCTGTGCCCCAATAAAACTTTACATACAAGAACAGGTGGAGGGTCACATTTGGTCTACAGGCCATAATGTACTGGCCCCTTATCTATACAAATTTGGATGCATTTGTACTTATCAGTCATGACTGAGACCCACCAATGGCCCCTAAACTACTTCACTAATGAGAGTCACTTTCATATGCAGAGTAATGGCTGCTTTCTATCTGCTCCATCAGCCAGTGGTCAAGCTCCTAGATGACCACTGAATTCCTCTGACCAGGAAATCTGATTTCCTTTTGGATTTTGTTAGATTATCACTGTGAATCTGACAACTCTTAGAGGGTTGGCATATATTTTGATAGTCATCTTCAGCAAATTTGGTATTCTTGTCAATTGCCAGCAAACAAAGAGTGCTTCCTAGTAGCCAAGTGACGGGCAAGAGCTAAGGGAAGTGGGGCAGCACAATGATAAAGGCAAGACAGGGAAAAGAGGATCAGAAATCTAGTTATTCCAAATTAATCTCCCTACATGTACTTGGGCACTTTTTTCCCCATCAGTAATTGTAATTGATAGAATATAAGATTGGAGGCACTAGAGTTAACGATGACCCCTGGCTTTAATCTGTTCAGGCTGCTATAACAAAAATATCACAAACTAAAAGGCTTATATACAACATAAATTTTCTGGGCACAGTGGCATACATCTGCCATCCCAGTTACTCGGGATGCTGAGGCAAGAGGATCACAAGTTTGAAGCCAGCCTCAGCAACTTAATGAGACTCTTTCTTAAAACAAAATATTTTTAAAGGCTGGAGGTATATCTCAGTCGTAGATTAGTTATTGGGTTCAGTCCCCAGTGATGCAAAACAAAACAAAAACATAAATTTATTTCTCACAGTTTGGGAGGCTAGGAGGTCCAAGATCAAGGTAGCCAGCACATCTGCTCTCCTGACCAACATCTTTACATGTGGAAGAGGCAAGCGAGCCCTTCTAAGGGCTCTTTCTAAACAATAATCCCATCACCAAGCTTCCATGCTCATGACCTAATCACCTCCAAAAGGCCCCACCCCCTAACATCATCAACTGCAGTTAGGTTTCAACATATGAATCGGGGGACACAAATATTCAAACTCGCATACCTTCTCGCATGGTATGTACAGAGGAATGACATTTCAGTTGACTTTTATGATATAATATCTAGCATGAAGAATAAGTGAGTTGGCTCAAACTAGTTCAAGCCTCTACAGACGCCAGTGGCAGCATTTCATTCTTTCTGTTGGGTCTCCGTGTGTGTGGTCACTCACATCTCCATTTCTTGTACAGATGGATGGTTTCTAGCCTGCTTCCAAACCCCACCTCGGCTGAGTGTTGGGCAGCACTTCTACATGATCCTATGACGCTTGATATGGACGCAGTCCTGTCAGACTTTGTTCGGTCCACGGGGGCAGAACCTGGTCTGGCCAGAGACCTGCTGGAAGGTAAGCTGACCTTCTCCCACACACCATCCTCTGGGGCCTGACTACCTTCTAACCAGTGATAGAACATATGAAGATTGGCATTGTCTAACATATGAAGAGATGAAAATGGTTTAGTCAAAAGTTATTGGTGAAAAAAGCCACCTGGTAGCCAATTAAGTAGGTTGGAAATAATTCACAAGCAGGAAATTAAACTTTATCTTCAATGTTTTTTGTATCATTTGCTACATGAAAAAAAATGTGTTTTCACGTATATGATGCTTTCACGTATTTATTCAGCAATAACTATAATAGACTGAAAATTAAAGTCTGTCTCTAAAATAGATATACTTATTGTCGGTTTTTTTTTCTTTTTTTGGTATCATTACCTGACAAAGGTAACAATGATGGTGTTGGAACCAGGTAAAGTAGGAAGAGCCAGTTTTCGTTTCTCTAAATGGTCAGATTGGTGGGAGGAGGGAACTTTTTAAATGATTAGTTTTTGTTTCAGGTATATAAATTGCAATTTGTAGAGTTAGTAAATACTTAGTCAAGTATTGTAAGTCCCAGTGATTCTTTCAGTCACAGAAAAAAATGAATGGTTATACATTTGTAAAAATGGAGATAACCATTCAATCCTATTATAAATTAAGAACCTCCTCTTAGAAGATTGTGAGAAAACGACAATGGCAATATTATAGTTTTGAAATTTCTCTCAGGCTCTGATAATTTCAAACACACTCAGGGTTTGGGATGAAAAAAGTGTAGAGAATCTTTGTGGATATATCTGAGTCAAAATGTGATTCTTACTTCCCACTCTTGATATTATGTAATGAACCCCTGTAGGTTCCCACTGCTTCTGTTCATTTAAGTGAGTGGCAACGTGAAGGAGCTTGGGAATGAGGTTAGCAATGAGAGCTTTGTCCAAGTCCAGATGCAGCCACTTGTCAGCTATGAGATGTAGGGAAAATCATTTTACTTCCCTTAACCTTAGTTTTATTTCTTTTCCCCTATAAGTTGAGCCTAATCTACCTTAAAGAGTGATTGTACATATTAGAAGTTATGATGTAAAGTGCCTGGAGGAGTGAGCAGCAGGTAGGAAATGCTCGAAAAGGAGGTAGATCATACTTGTAGTTGCTCAAAAAGGAGGTAGATCATACTTGTAGTTGCTGATGTCATAACGAGTACTAAATTGGTATTCATTTCTAGACAGCCTTAAATGAGATGCAAGAGTGATTATCTACTTTTTCTTTATTTTTAAAATTAAGATACACAAAAACTGACTTCTTAGTGTTCATTTGTATGAATTTTAACATGCCTGGATTTGTGTGATTACTACAGCTCTCAGGACACCATACCCCTTCACCACCTCCACATTCTATGTCCTGTTGTCTTTTATAGTAAGGCTCATCCTTATCCATTGGAAGCCACAGTACTGTATCCTATCACTAATTTTGTCTCTTTTCAAGAATTTCATATACATAGAATCACAGATCCTCATCTCTTGAAATCAGCATCTTTTTACTCAGCATAACTCTATGTTTGTTTTTATTAATGAAAGTGGTTCATTCTAGAGATGAACCACAGTTGTTTATTCATTCATCTGTTGAGGGCATTTCAGTTGTTTCTTGTTGAGGGCAGATATGATTAGAGTGCCTATAAATATTTAAGAACAGGTTTCTTGCAAATATAATTTTAATTATCCTAGGTTCAATTACATAGTGGTGGAATCACCAGTGCATATGGTAAGGGTATGTTTAACTTTATAGGAAACTGCCGAACTGTTTTCCAGAGTAGCTAAGCCATTTTGCATTTCCCACCAGCAATGTACAAGAAGTCCAGTACTCCACATATTCACCAGCATTTGATGTTTCTTTATTTTTGTTAATTTTGGCCATTTTAAATAGGTGTTCAATGATATTTCCTCATGGCTTAATTTTCATTTCCTTAATTGATTAATGATGTTGAAATTTTTTCAGGTAATTATCTTCATCTGTGAATTCTCTTCATAAAACATCTGTTCAAACTTTATGCCTGCTACTACATTGAGTTGTTTGTTTTCTCATACTTGAGTTTTGAGAGTTCTTTTTATATATTAAGTATACAGTTTTTGTTTGTTTTGTGGGTAGTACCAGGGATTGAACTCCAGGGCACTCGACCACTGAGCCTCATCCCTAGCCCTATTTTGTAGTTTATTTAGAGATAGGGTCTCACTGAGTTGCTTAGTACCTTGCTTTTGCTGAGGCTGGCTTTGAACTTGTGATCCTCCTTCTTCAGCCTCCCGAGCTGCTGGGATCACAGACGAACACCATCATGCACAGCCTAAATATTGAGTATAAATGATTAGTCAGATTTGTGACTTGAAAACATTTTCTCTCAGTGTGTATTTGAATTTTCATTCTTTTTTACTTATTAAGGTAATTTCAGTACATTATAATTATACATAACAGGCTTTATTGATACATATTTGTACAGGCACGTAATTTGGTCAAATACATTCCCCAGTACTTTGTCTTTTCATTATTTTAACAGTGCTTTTTTGCAGAGCAAAGGCTTTTAATTTTGATGCAATCCAACTTACCAGTTCTATCTTTTATGAATCATGCTTTTGTGTGGCATGTCTAAGAACCTTTGCATAATTCCAGGTCATAAAGATTTTCTCCTATGTGGTCTTTTGAAAGTTTTATGCTTTTATGTTTAACATTTAGATCTGTGACCTATTGTGAGTTGCTTTGTGTAGAACGCACAAGATTTAGGTCAAGATCCATTTTTACGCTTATGAATGTCCAAGAGTTTAAACACCATTTATTGAAAATATTATGCATCCTCCATTAAATTGTCTTTGCATATTTGTCAAAACCAACCAAGATTATAGAAATAGTAATAACCAAGAACTGTGAAAATCTATTTCTTGATACCAGTTGTATTCCATTGATCAATGTCATTTCTTTGCCAATAAAACACCATTTTGATGATTATAGCTTTGTAATGAGTCTTAAAATCAGGTAATGTGATTCTTCTAAATTCAGTTTATTTTTCAGACATATTTTAAATATTTCCTTTCCTTTGCTTTTCCGTACATATTTTAGGAAGAGCTTACCCTTTGAAATGTCCTACTGGAATTATGATTGGAATTATGTTAAATCTGTAAGTCAGTCCTAATTATCTCAGTCCATGAGATATAGTGTTCTGTTTATTTAGCCTTCTTTGAGTTCCTTGCTCAATATTTTATAGTTTTTAGCATTTAGAACCTAAATGTGTTTTGTTAGATTTATATATAGCCATCTTATTTATTGAGAAAATTGTATAATTTAAAAAGGTTTTTGCTTCAAATTTTTCTTTGCTAGTATGTAAAATATAATTTATTTATTTTATTTGTTTTATTTTTCTGTTTCTGGGAATTGAACCCAGGGATCCTTTACCTCTTAGCCACATCCCCAGCCCTTTTTGTTTTATTTTGAGACAGGGTCTTGCTAAGCTGCCCAAGCTGGCTTCAGACTTGAGATCCTGTGCCTCAGCCTCCTGGGTCATTGGAATTACAGGTGTGCACCACCACACCCAGCTGAAATATTGTTTATTTTTATGTGTTGATGCTGTATCCTAAAATCTTGCTAAAACCAAACTGCTCAATTATTTGTTCTAAGAACTCTCCCCTGTCCTGCATATTCCTTGATATTTTCTTGACAATCACATCATCTCTAGATATTAATCTCAGGGAAAAGCATTTAATCTTCCACCATTAAGTAGAATGTGGCAATTTTGTACATGATCTTGGTAGGGAGGTTGAATTCCTCTATATTTCTAGTTTACAGGGAGTTTTATCATGAAAAGATGTTGAATTCTTTTGCATTTTCTGTATCAGTTGATAGGGTCAAATGTTTTCCCCCTAAAACCTGTTAATATTCTAGCTGACAGTGATTGTCTTCTAATAGTAAAGCAACCTTTCAGTCATTTCTTATCATGTTTTTCTGCTGTACACATTCTCCTCTCCTTCTGGACCCAGATGTTATAACAGACCTTTTCTTAACTGCCCTACAGGTTCCTATGGCTCTAATCATTTCCTTTTCTGATCTTTTCTCTGTATATTGTTTAGATTGTTTCTATTTGTTTATTAATAAATTTATCAACTCTTTCCTCCCTTATCTCCATTATGTTATTGAACCCATCCAGTGATTTTTTTTAATTGTTAAATGCTTTTATTTCTAACCTTTCCACTTGGCTCTTATTCATATCTCCTATTTCCTTGCTAAGACTTTATATATTGTTTCATCCCAATATAGCCGTTGAGATTTCTCTGGTTGTTCTTTCGTGGGATTTTGTTTTGTTTTAGAATAGTAAAGAAATTTAAATTGTATTAGGGACTTTTTGAAAATTATGTTTTGAGATTCTCATTATTGTTAAGCTCTTACAGAAAATATTGTTGTATTTGCTCTAGAATATAATCTTCCCAGCTCGGTTCTGTGGATTGTGGTTCCACCAGCAAGTCTTCAAGACATGCCATTTGGATCCATCTCACTTGTATGCCACCTAGTGGCCACTCAGGGACTTTGACATGTCTGACAACATTCAAAGTCTGTTCAATCTGTTTAAGGCAGAACCATAGGTGTGCAGCTCTGGGACAGAACCAAGAGTTCATAAACAACTTTAGGGACTGGTCTTTCCCATCATAATCCTCTCACTCTGGGCTCCATTTTCCAAGTCCTCCGGCCAGCTTGGATAACTGGGGCTTTACTTGCCTACTGCTTAGCATACTTGAATCGACTATTAACATGGTAAAGCCCAACAGCAAAAGCCAGAGAGGAAAAAAAAAAAAAAAAAACAGTGAGGCTCACCCACCCTCCAGTGACCACAGAGCCTCTGGTAGGAGAGAAAGCTCTGTACTAAAGGTTCTACAGAGAAAGCTCTGTAGACAGGTTCTGTACTAAAACAGAACCAGTTTTAGTATTTAGACAGCATTTCCCATTGCTGTCACAGAATTGCTTGAGTTCTAAGGTGCAGAGAACTGAGAAAAATGTAGAAGGAAA